CGTACATTCACACACACACACACACATGCCTGTGTACATGCAAGTGTGTGTGAATGTGCGTACGTGCGTGCGTTTGTGTGTGTGCGTGCGTGCATGCATTTGTGTGCGTGCGTGCGTGCGTGCATGCGTTTGTGTGCGTGCATGCGTGCGTGCGTGCGTGCGCGTGCGTGTGTGTGCGTAAGGAGAGGTACTCACGCTAATTGTGCCCATAGAGGATTGTAGGGATGTGACTTTCCCAGCATGTCGGTCTGAAACACAAAGAAACATCCACATGAACGTAAACACAACTACTAAACAGAGGCTACACGCAACACACGATAGCACGAAACATACGTATACACTCAACGCTGCAGTATATCATAATACCAGGAGTGAATAATAGAGAATCTCTGAAAATATGATAACCGTACAGACGTGTTGGTGGTGATAGTGTGTCACCTGCCAATCACTGTGTGAGAGTCACGTGATACAGTTGACGTATACTTCAAAACGTACCCTAACTCCAACACTAACCTTAACACTCAATAACTATATCTCGGAGCGCTATATATAAGTGTATATATCCACAAAAATTAATCTATGGTGTGGGGACAGATATCATGATGCAAAAACTCTAACCCTAACCCTAACCTAATACTAATAATATTAATCCTAATACTAGTGCTGCCACGTTGCGGTCTCACTCCACGCCTGGGGGATAGCATTACCCCGATCACCACAGCCTAACAGACTAGAGAACGGTAAAACCAACCATTATTAAAATGTACATACCCACCCATCTCTGTCTGCACTGCTTATAATTATTATGAATTATAAATCATCATCATCATCATCATCATCATCATCGTCATCATCATCATCATCATCATCATCATCATCATCATCATCATCGTCATCATCATCATCATCGTCATCATCATCATCATCATCATCATCATCATCACCATCATCATCATCATCATCACCATCACCATCACCACCATCATCATCATCATCATCATCATCATCATGCTTACTCACCCACTGAGCAGTGTGTTTCTCCAGGTAGTTCTTACTGGGCTTGGAGTCAGCTGGAGCGACGGTCGGCACCCACGCCAGCTGATTGGTCAACGTTGCCGTTAGCAACGTGCTCAGAAAACTGCAGACGACAAACGGGACGCGTCACGAAAACGATCACGAAACATTCCGGAAAGTGTCCCCGACGAACACGGATAAGACAATCGCGGAGTGTTCCCTGGAAACGGCGATGGGATAGTTTGGAATTTTTAGGGGGAAAAACCGGATTAGTATCGTGATTTTCCCTGGAAAAATTGTTAATAGCTTCAAATATTTCTCATAGTATTTCTCGGATACTTCTCACATTCATGATAAAACGCGCAAAGACTCAGAATTCTTTCAGTAAAACAGGAAACAACAAGTAATTCTTCCAGTAAAACAGGGAACAACAAGTAATTCTTTCATTAAAACAGGGAACAACAAGTAATTATTTCAGTAAAACAGGGAACAACGAGTAATTCTTTCATTAAAACAGGGAACAACAAGTAATTCTTTCAGTAAAACAGGGAACAACGAGTAATTCTTTCATTAAAACAGGGAACAAACAAGTCAATTCTTTCAGTAAACAGGGAACAATGAGTAATTCTCACTTAAACAGGGAACAATGAGTAATTCTTTTGTTTAAAACAGGGGAACGAGTAATTCTTTCATTAAAACAGGAACAACAGGTAATCTTTCAGTAAAACAGGGAACAACGAGTAATTCTTTCAGTAAAACAGGGAACAACGAGTAAATTCTTTCAGTAAACAGGAAACAACAGGTAATTCTTTTCAGTAACAAGAGCCGCAGAGCATCTGGGCTCATCTGGGTCTGTTGCTACGGTTATGAAACGTACAATTTCAGTTGTGCGTAGTGACACATTTGTTAGGCGCAGATATGCAGATACGCAGTTGCCATACACATCATTGTTAGGACACCGCTCACTATCTCCGCCCATCGATTTTTGGTTTTATTTTATTAAAATGGTACTTGCTTTCACTTCGCAATTTGTGTCATAGATTTCACAGCATCTATTTTTTATCTATCTATAAAGATTTCAACATATGAGCATGGATCTCCAAGTATAATTAAGGGGCGGGGAGTCCTTCTCCCCACACCTCCCTCCCCCTGCCTCCCCACTGCACCTCCCCTTGCCTCTCACTTCGCACCCCTTACCTCCCATCTCCCTCCCCCTGCCTTCGACGCTCCTCTCCCCTGCTCCCACCTCCCGATCCGCCTTGCCACACCTCTCGCACTGACTCTAATTTGTACCCCGTCATTCCACTCGCATACACAGCCGTATCACCAGCTTTTTCCCTGTCCCCGTCTCAATTTAACTTACTCTCTCTCTCTCTTTATTTAAGACTTTCTCGTCTCATCCTCTCTAATTATATAAAAATGTTAAAACCAGCGATTGATGCCATTTACTGCCCCCCTCAATAATGCTTCTTCTATGCCGCCTGAGTGTAATCCGTCATAGAAATCATATATATAGTGTTCTCTAATCATTTTCTATGGTAACAGTTTGCTTCGCAGCAACTGTTGTAAATGGATCACCGCACGGCCCCATAGCTACATGATCTATATGTTTAAGATTCAAGATCGACAAAGGTAAATATTTATATATTATATGGTACCTAGCTTTATTATTTATTCGTTTAACAAAGTTACATGAGAATAAATCTAATTAAAACAGGCCTATGTTGCACGCGAGATGCGCGCGTCAAAGTGTAATCATAATCAAAGATGGCATCGTTCCTTGAAATCTACAGTGGTTTCAAGTGCTAAAATCCAAGTAAGTATCACTTCAGGCAGTTGCTCAGCTGTAGAGTTAACACGATGCATTGCAGGTTGGCAGGCCAACATTATGATTAGAAGGTGCAGTACCCCCCAGGTGCTGCTGTGTTTTTTGCCTCATGCGAGCATTTCACAATGATTCATCGCATTTAGCCCTTCAGGCCCGAGGGGCGGGGGTCATAGACACTGCTTTTATGAATAATCATTGATTTAAAAGGAGCTTAACCTTGTTCAACCATACATTGCCTTTGAATTAAACTGTGCAATGTCGAGCCACACTTTGACACAGGTATGGCTCTAATAATAGGCAAAAAGCAGTTTCAGTCTACCTTTGTTACATAACAAATCAATGTTTAACCAGCATCCTCTTGAGGGTCAAAAGGTTATCCGGACACTATACTCTTCGCATGTCAGTGATAGCATATTTCATTGGTCCATTTTTCAATAAAGCCATAAAATGCTAGGTTGCCACGGCGCTGAAAACAAACAAGTTTTCAATGCTCCGTCACACAGCCACACATGTTGCCTTCTGAAAATGTTAAATCTGGCCCCTGGTGCCATTGACCTGATTGACCTGTGACCTCCAATTTCGGCCGCAGCTGATTGGTTTTGCTACCATCGATGCTATAACCGGACTATCTACGAGCCTAGGTCGATCGCCGTTAGTTGTGGTGCCGCAATTCTTGCATTTCCTCCCTATACTTTAAGGTTACAGCGAAGGGAATGCTCCCACTCTCATTTTACACCGTCTTGACTTTTGACCTTTGACCCCCCAGCTTCGACATACCCCCAACTCGTTTTCGGATTACCCCCCCACATCCCGAATATGCGGACCGTAACGTCGACGCTGGTTAAGATTTTGCTGGCCCAACTGTTGACGGACGGACGGACACGGACGGACGATCATGTCGATTCTACAAGCTGCCATCTGACTAATGTCGAGTGAGCTAAAACAGAGAAGCACAGAGGAAGGCACATCCGCATCAGAACATCATCGGCCTCCGCACGAACACTCATCACTAGTTCATGGTTCTTGTTGTCGAGTCGTTCGTTCAGAGGGACTCATGTCGCCATGGACTGGTCCGCAAGGCGATCCGCCGGCGCGGGTGACAGCGCGACATCAGCGTCAGCCACATCGGATGCACGAGCCGCGACGTTGTACAGGTCGTGAAGGTGGTCTGAAGGTCGTCCAGCGCCTGCGCGGAGATGACGGTGCGGGGACGGTGGCAATGTGGCGAGGTCACGGTGGGGTGGGGGTCGTGGGAGGTCACGGTGGGTGGGGGTCATGGTGAGGTCACGGTGGGGCAGGTGGTGAGGTCACTGTGGAGTCCAGTGTGAGGTCACGGGGGGGCGGGTGGTCAGTGGTGAGGTCCGCAGGGTCAGGTGGTGAGATTCAATGGTGGTCAAGTGTGAGGTCACGTGAGGGGTCACTCGTCCAGAAGCAGCAACACACGATTTGCAGGATGCAGCACGGCGTGACGCGGCATGGCACGACACACCATGCTGCGACACAGCATGGTGCGACACAGCACGGCACGCACGACGCAGCACAACACAACACGACGCAACATGACACGCCATGACACAACACACGGCGTGCCGCGGCATGGCACGACACACCGTGCTGTGACACAGCATGGTGCGACATGGCACGCACGCGCAGAACGAAGCGACACGGCACGCTGCGACACAGCACGGCACGCTCACCTGCACGAGTATCGGTATGAAGTCGTGTTTGTTGAGGTAGGCCGTGTCCACGCACGCGCGTAACACAGCACAGCATGACACGCCACGCTGCGACACACCACGGTGCGACACACCACGGTGCGACACACCACGCTGCGACACAGCACGGCACGCTCACCTGCACGAGTATCGGTATGAAGTCGCGTTTGTTGAGGTAAGCCGTGTCGACGCACGCGCGCGATACGCCACGGCACGACACGCCCCGGCGCGACACGCCACAGCGCGACACGCCACGCTGCGACACAGCACAGCACGGCCCACTGACCTGAATGAGTATCGGTATGAAGTCGTGTTTGTTGAGGTAGGCCGTGTCGACGCACGCGCGTAGCTCCTGCATGTGCGCCTCCACGAGCGTGATGTGAGAGAAGAAGAACGACTCAAAGTCCCCGCCGCCGCCGCCGCCGCCGCCACCGCCGCCGCCGCCGCCGCTGCTGCTGCTGTCGTTGTCGTTGTCGTCGCGGAGGCTGATGAGGATGGCGATGCCGAGCTTGGAGCGCGTGTGAGGCTCCGCATGTCCCTGCAAGATAGAGAGGCAGAGAGAGAGAGTTAGTTAGTTAGTGATGGCCCTGCAGCAACCGAAGAGAGAGAGAGAGTGTGTGTGTGTGAGAGAGAGAGACAGAGAGAGTGTGTGTGTGTGTGAGAGAGAGAGCGAGAAAGAGAGACGGAGAGAGTGTGTGTGTGAGAGAGAGAGAGAAAGAAAAACAGACAGAGAGCGAGTGTGTGCGTGTGAGAGAGAGAGAGAGAGAGAGAGAGAGAGAGAGAGAGCAGAGAGTGTGTGTGAGAGAGAGAGGAGAGTAGAGAGAGAGAGAGAGGTGTGCAGAGAGAGAGAGACAGAGACAGAGAGAGTGTGTGTCATGAAAAGAGAAGAGCTAGACAGAGAGAAACAGAGACAGGTCATAGTTAGGAAGACACATGTGGCAAATACGGACTTATAAGCCCTTTTCTGGAGGCTTTAATAAGACTTTTCTACGCGATTTCTGATTAGATCACCAAACTATTAAAGTACACTAATAATATTTATATACACAATGCACACCAGATTATTATTCCGTATATACTATTACAGACAATTCTTACTCATAAGTCGAGAACCAGTTTTATAAAACAATTTATATGAAATATTGTAGGTTGAAAAATAAGGACTATTAAGGTACTTTTCTAAGATTTCACGCAAAATATAGTACTAATAAGCGCGCCTTATTTTATTTTTGGCTAAATAAGTACTTATAAGCCTTTGGAAGACCCGCTACGAACACTGAGAGGAGTGTGTGTGTGTGTGAGAGAGAGAGATGAGAGAGAGAGAGACAGAGAAGAGTGGTGCAGAGTAAGAGAGAAGAGCAGAGAAGTGTGTGCATGAGAGAGAGAGAGAGGGAGACAGAGAGAACCAGGAAGACAGCGAGAGTGTGTGTGTGTGACAGAGAGAGAAGAGAGAGAAAGAGAGAGAGATACAGACCAGAGAGAGAGGGGGATGGGCAGAGAGAGAAGAGAACGAAGACGGAGCGTGCCGTGAGACAGCAAGCAAGACAGAAGAAGAGAAAGAGAGAGAGAGCAACCAGACATAAGAATGTCAGATAAATACAAAGCAAGGGAAGACATCGAGAAATAATGCTGGGAGACTGGACGCAGAAAGGAAGCCGGCCAAGGCGAGATATAAATATCAGAACAAAGGAAGGCTATCGAAATAATGCTGGAAGACGCAGGAGAGGATAAGCCGGCGAAGGCGAGATATAAATACAGAACAAGAGGAAGGCATCGAGAAAATAATGCTGGGAGGCAGGTGCGAAATTAACGGCAAGGTCCGGAATCAAATACTGCCCTGATTTAGCTCGTCGGACTCCCTGATTTGACATATGCAGGAGTCCGTGTGACTCCCTGAAAATTCTGGCCATATCTAACTAGTTCGTTCGTCGGAGCATGGCTCGGCGAATTACCGTTTTTTCAGCTAATGTCGCAAAGAAATTGGCAGACGTGCAACTGCATGGAATCTTAAAAAATAACAGGCATGCTTATTGTTAATATATCTTGAATGTTGAACCTCAGACTGCGGACTGCCGCTTATTCTTGCTGGGCGGACTCCCTATTTTTGAGGGGCAAGGGAGGCTGCGATTTGCCGTGTCCCGGCCGTTGGACTCCGCTTGTTCAAGGAAGTTAAATTTCTACCCGTGTGGAAGAGCCATGGAGGGGGAAAGAGAGAAGATGAGGAAGCCAAGAAGCCAGATACGACGAAGCCCTCCTCACCTCTGGACTGTTCGCATCGCTGTCTTTCTTCAGCGCGAGTCCGAACTCGAGGCTGGTTGCCTGGCAACGCATCCAGCGCCGGTGGAGGCTGTTGTACGTGTTCGCGCTGAAGTTGGTCGTCGAGTTCTCCTCCAGCAGCGAAACCATGCTGCTGAACGAAGCCACTGAAGGAGAGAGCAAATGAGCGAGTGAGCGACGCGGTCGACAGACAGACGAACAAAACTGCGAGAAGACGGCGCCGTTGCCGAGAAATTCGAAAAATTCACTCGCGAATTCATCCGCATTAGTTGTAAGCGTGTCGCATAAAACGTCGTCCGGAGAAACGACTAAACGTATTTGAAATAAAAGTCGTCGCGAAAAATTATTCGATTATAACAATTTTATAATGAACCTTCTTTTAAAAAAATGAAGAAAATAAAAGGAGAAGAAAAATTAAGGAAAAGAAGAATTGAGGAAAAAAGAATTAAGGAAAAGAAAAAAATGAAAAGGATAAAAGGAAAAGGTAAATAAAGGAAAAGGAGAATAAAAGGAAAAGAACAATAAGGAAAAGACAGTTACTATTAAAAATTAAACTAATAATAAAACTAATTATAAAAAACCTAATCCAACGATAAGTTACTGTATACGCCATATTTTTAAATATAGCGTATATATATATTTTAATATACTATTATATATATATTATATATATATACGTACAGATATTTTCGGCCAATATCAGACTTGCCTGACAATTTCACAGTGTTTAATTTCGCCCTGCAGTGAATTATGAAAATTCGCGATCGTATATACGATACTAATTATTCGCATTGTTTGTTATTTTCGGCTGGTCGCGGACTGCGTCGCGATTCGCGAAAATTAAACCACCACGAAATATACAGCGTATACAGTAGTGCGTCTGCTTCACAGAGCATTACAGATCGCCAACAGATGGCGCCGGCGTCACCCCGCTGGTTTACCAGATGCGAGGGAGGTAGAGAAGTTGCCGTCGCCGACGCTGCTTCGTCGTGGCCGTGGCGGCACCGCTAGCGGGTGACTCTCGCGATCCTGGTCCTCGACACTCCCGCCAGGCTCCTGCAGACACATCGCAACACATCTCTTCAGGGAGAGCGTGCGTCATCAGCGCGTAAGCGCTATCGCAAAACAATCTCTCTCGTGAGGCGTAATCGTCGATCGGCGACGCGCGCGCATCGCAAAACATCTCTCTCAGTGAGGCGTGCGTCATCGCGCGCGCATCGCAAAACATCTCTCTCAGTGAGGCGTGCGTCATCGCGCGCGTAATTGAGCGCTATACGCAAAACCATCTCTCATCAGTGAGGCGTGCGTCATCGCGTCGCAATAGTCGGGCGCTCGCAAAACATCTCTCTCTGAGGCGTGCGTCGTTGTGCGGGCGTGCATCCGGCAAACATCTCTCTCAGTGAGGCGTGTTATCGCGCGCAAGCGTGCATGCGCAAAAACATTCTCTCGTCAGTGGCGGGCGTGCGTCTCCGCGCGAAGCGCATTGCGCAAAAGCATCTCTCTCAGTGAGGCGTGCGTCGCCGCGCGCGCATCGCACTCTACTCTCAGGGAGGCGTGCGTCGCGCGCGGCGCGCATCGCAAAACATCTCTCTCAGTGAGGCGTGCGTCGTCGCGCGCAGGCCGCATCCGCAAACATCTCTCTCAGTGAGGCGTGCGTCATCGCGCGCGTGCATCCGCAAAAACATCTGCTGCTCAGTGAGCGTTGTTATCGGCGCCGCAAAGGCAGCCGCCATCCGGCAAAACATCTCTCTACAGTGAGGCGTGCGTCGTCGCGCGGCCATGCGCGATACGCAAACCACATCTCTCTCATTGAGGCGTGCGTGCGTCGCGCGCGGCAGCGCGATGCGCAAAACATCTCTCTCAGTGAGGCGTGGCGTGTTACGCGCAGCGAGATCGGAAAACAGTCTCTCTCAGTGAGGCGTACGTATGTTGCGCGCGCGCGATCGGCAAAACAATCTCTCTCAGTGAGGCCGTGCCGTCGTTGCGCAGCTAGCCAGAATGCGCAAAACATCTCTCTCAGTGAGGCGTGTGCGTACGTTGCGCGCGCGTAGCATCGCAGTAACATCTCTCTCAAGTGAGGCGTGCGTCATGCGCGCGCGTGCAGAGGGCAGTGGTGTTTCCAGTAAGTTACTGCTTAACGTTAAATGGCTAAGATTGCACTAATTAATGATGATATATAAATGCACTAGATTTGCAATTCTTTCTCTAATACAAGTCATTATTTGTTCATCTCGGATCCCTCTGGATCTGTCTTCGTCTGTCGCAAGTTACGAGATGTTTCGGTACTGTTTAGTACGTAACCTTACTGTAATTACGTGAATGTTACATGATTACGTAATCTTACTTTTAATAGGCGTAATGTTAAGAGCAAATTTAGCGAGGATTTTTCGTTCTCGTAACTTTAAGGGCGATATTCTTGTCAAAGGGTTAGGGAGACGGGAGGGAAGGGGAGGAGAGGAGAGGGGAGGGAGGGGACGAGGCGATTGTGTTGTACTTATATATCTTGCCACTCGCAGGCCCAGCCCAGTGGACATGGGGAGGGGAGGAGAAGAGGGAGAGAGGGGAGGGAGAGGGAGACAGGGAGGGGGATAGGGGTGGTGGTATCGTCGCTCCACACTGCTTCACTCACCTTTTGTCAGCAGGGGACCGCCCAGCGATAGGAGGAGTGGAGTGGAAGAAAGAAGAGGGAGAGGGGAGATACAGAAGGGGAGGAGAGAGCAGGAGAAAGGGAAAGGAAAGGGAGGGAGAGAGGGGGAGGGAGAGGAAGGAAGGAGAGGGAGAGGGAGAGAGGGAGAGAGGAGGTAGTGAGAGGAGAGGGAGGGGAAGGGGAAGAGGGGAGGAGGGAGGGAAAGGAAGGGAGAGAAGGGAGGAAGAGGGAGAGAGGGAAGGAAGGAGAGGGAGAGAGGAGGGGGTGGTGGTTATCGTCGGCTGCCACACTGCTCACTCACCCTTGTTGTCGGCGGGCCGGCCCAGCGATGGCGTGATGTAATCACTCACCGACGCTCGGAAACAACTTGCCGGGAGCTGCGTCGCGCTGCTGCTCGCTCCTGGTGGGCGCAAAAGCAAACGTAAACGCTCCGGAGACCGAGAACACGCGTCGCGCACGAATGACGGCCGTTCCAACGTTAGACGACGAGAATCCTAAGCGATGACGTCATCGACAGACGGTTCTAGCCACCAATCGTTACTAGCAGAAGATGCCAACACTTATTTTGAAAGCAATCTGTAGTTTCTGGCCATCAATTAGTATTCGAGGAGCCACGTAGTGACGATTTGCTAGGGGTCCGGCATGCCCCCCCCGGAAAAATGCTTGATTCTGAGATGCAATTTCCTTCATTCTGAGGGTCAAAAATGACAATAATATGACAAACCAATACAATATTAAAAAAAATATATAATTTTTCGATCACAGTGAAATTCGTAGTTTGAAATAAAACCTGGTCGTAGTGGTGCAGAAAGGAAATAGAAATTTCGTATAAAATAATGGGATAAATCGTAGTGGTTCAGGCATTCTGTACTACGCTGCAATCTCACCCGATAGGCCCAGCATGAGCCTGCAAGGCACGCAGCGATGACTCAGGAGGGTCGATGGGGTCGACACACGGTGGACATCATAGCTGGTCGCGGCCGCGGAGTGATGTTGCAGCTTCAGCATCGTGCCGGCAGACGACATCGCCAGGGGGGGGGGGGGGGGGGGGCGCTGCCGAATATCATCTCGCCGATCAGACTTCACGTCCGAGCGCAAAGCGCCGCAGAACCTGGCGGCGGCGAGAAAACAAGAGAACGTGCGGTGACAGCAGCAGCAGCAACTGTCGGGAAGAACAAGAGAGGCGTCGGTGACTAGGGTCGCACGCCGAGGCGAGTCTGCTTAGCCACCGCCTACCGCCTGACGCGACTCTCTCTCTCTACTCTGTTTCTCTTTGCTTTCGCTTCTCTTTCTTTAACTTTCTCCTCTCTCTCTCGCTCATTTCTCTCATTGCTCTCAACTGCTCGATCTGCTCTATCTGTCTCTCCCTCTCTTCATTTCACACTCATTCTCTCTCTTCTCTTCTCTCTCCGTCCCATCCTACTCTCTTTGCTCTCTCATGTTCACCACTCCCTCCCTCCGCTCTCACCTCTCTCTCTGCTCTCTTATCATTCCTTCTCCCTCCGTGCCTCCCTCTCTCTCATTCCTTCCTCCCTCTCTCCCTCCCTCCTCGCCTCTCACTCCTCCAGTCGCTCCTCTCTCTTTCAATCTCTCCCTCATCTCATTCGCAGCATCTTCCTCCCCCTGCCTTCTCGCCCCTCTCTCTCCTCCCTCCTCCCCCTCCCCTTCCTCCTCCTCGACTCATTCTCCGACTCTCCTACTCCCTGCCTTCCGCTCCCCCTCTCCCTCTCACCTCCCTCCCCTCTCTCTTCTCTGTTGGCATAACCTGTAAGGTAATTTCTGTTGCGTCGGTGGTCATGTGGCTGCTGGCTGGTCACTCTCTCACCTCCACACCTCTCCCCCTTCCTCTCCCCGCTCTCTCTCTCTGGGTGGGCGTAACTGGTAGGATAATTCTGTATCGTCGCGTGTCACTGTGCTGCTGGCTGTCCTCCCTCCTCCTCCCCCCCTCCGTCCCTTCACCTCCTCCTACCTCCTCTCCTCACCCCTCGTCCCCCCCTCCCCCTCTCTCTCTCTGCTGGGCGTACCTGGTAGGGTAATTTTTGTTCGTCGGTGGTCTGTGGCTCTGGCTGCCTGGTGTTGGCCGTCCTAACCGCTCGTACACCTTCCCACATTGTGTCTTCTTCTGAAAACATAACAACAGAAACGCATAAAGTGAGCATAACGTAATGCAACGCGCAACGTAACACAGCATAATGTAATGCAATGTTTAGCGTAACGTAATGTATGAACGTAATGCAAATTGAACGTAATGCAACGGTGGGCGACAACGTAACGCAAAATAATGTAATGTAACGTAATAGCAAGTACGTAACAGAACCCACTGTAACTTGACCTAATGTGATGTAATGTAATTAACGTAACAGAAGTAAGTAACGTAATGCAATGCTATACGTAACAGAACACATGTAACTTGACATAATGTAATGTAATGTAATTGTACGCACCGAATGTAATGTAACGTAATGCAATGTAATCGTAACATACACAATATGTATCGTAACATAATGTAATGTATGAACCGGCAATTAACGGCAACATAATGTAATGTAGCGTAATGCAATGTACGTAACAGAACAAAATGTAACTTGAACATGAAATGATAACTAATGGCAATGTAAGCGTAATAAGAATGTAGATGTAACGTAATGCGATGTAACGTAGAACAGAACTCAATGTAACATAACATAACTGTAATGTAATGTAATGTACGGTAACAGGAATGATGTAACGTATGCAATGCACGTGAACTGCATATCAATGCAATGTAAACATGAAATGTAATCAATGTAACGTAACATAAGCAATTCACGCGTAATGCCATGTAACGTAACAGTAACAACAATGTAACGTAACTAATGCTAATGTAATGCAATGTAACGTATGCACTTAGTCGCAGCAAAGACTGTATATGTAATGTAGACGTACGTGTAATGCAGATGTACGTAACAACGTAATGCAGCTGCAAAATAATACAAAGTAAGTGCA